CGTGGTAATATCGTATCGTGACTTCAGTGTCGTGGTAATATCGTATCATGGGGCCTGTGTTGATTCCTATCACCACTAAAAAATGCTAAAATATCTCGTCAAAGAAGTGATTTTCAGTTATTCTCCATCTTGAAATTGTTTTCTCCATGTTTTGATTTGAAGAGTAGAGATAAAAACACAAACGGACACACTTTTGTAAATGGATTATTTAAACCGGTGTTTAACCTGTGGGAGATTTAAAGATCCTATCTCTCTGTGGGTAAGTAGCTCAGACCTTTAGACCTTTCGAAAGAACCGTGTCCATGAGCAGCATCAGAACTGGGCTGGTAATCCTAGCTGGAGGGTCTGACAGCTCTGGTTCTCCTGAGATAGATTGCAGTGCGTTTGTAAGGAGCTGGCAGACACTGACACATATCCTCAGAGTCCATCCCTCTCTCGCATCACTTTCTTTCACACCTCCTCCTTGCAAGGCTTTTTTTTTTTTGTACGTTTCTTCTCCGCTGACTTTCTCTCCTCCCGTCTCTCGCCCTCTCTGTGATTACCGCCATGCATCTCGGCACACACGCTCTCCGGTTGTAGTTTAAATCTGCTTCAAGTCCTGCCGTTCGACCGTAGCCCGACCGCTGCCCAGTCTTAACTAACCGTGACCTTGTCCGCCCGGTGCAAGATGCCGGCGTGACGCGACCAAGTGTTCAGGGACGCCAAAAGACACACAGAGGGGAAATTACCTAGATTAAAAAACAGGGAGGTAGTGGGGGGAGGGTAGAAAGGGGGGAGAGCTGGGGGGCGACGCGTGTCCTGATGCTGTGTTCCTTTCCTGAAATAGCATCACCCAGATGAGGTGCTGGCTGGGAGGACGGCGTCCGTCCGTCTGCATCGGTTTAAGTGCACAAATCCACTTCCTGTTTCAGTTTAGGCCTGACCTTGGTCCTCTGTCCCGCCTCCTCTGAGCCACAGGGTGTGGTGCAGTGTAACCGACACCTCCGCCAACCCGAGCGGGGCAGCGTGACGGCGTTGTCGTCATTAACCAGAACTTAAACGACTCCTTCAGACGCTCGTATGCCTTCCCGGCTCCCCCCCCCCCATTTCTGTTCCCTGACAGCATCACTCAAACGTCTCATCGTCGCCTTCATCATAATATTCCACCTGGGCGCCTCGGCCCTTGAGAGCGTTATCGTGGTCGGCAAATCAAGTGCCAAGCATGATAATAGGTTTTGCAAATGTAGTGTTTGAATTAGAGCGTTTGGGAATGTGTGCGTACTGTACAGCAGCTCAGCGTCTTTAATTAGCCGGCAGGATTAAGTGTTGCTTAGCATCTAAGCTTGTGTGCTTAAGATCAAGCGTATCAGAGTACGTCTTGAATTAAATAGTGTGCTTTACTTGTAGATGCTCCGCAAATGATTTGACTTCACGTCCCAAACCTTTAGCCACGCTAGCAGCAAAGGCTCCATGTGTGTTTGTCCACCCACTTAAGTCCAGACGGAATTAAATATCTAGAGATGCACCAATTGATCGGCTGCAGATTGAAACCGGTTGGTTGTCAACTGATCGGCCGACGAGTTTCATGTTTTTTATTTTTTTGCTGGTCTTCACACGTGTGCCGCCACCGCTGCTGCATGATCATTTTACGTAACAGACACAAGTTTTCAGTGACTAAAGAAGACATTAAGTTCATAATTTGTCAGAACTGCGAGTCCGAAATAAGCCGTGGAGGAACAACTTAACTTCATCAGACACTTATTATACTGTAATTCATTCCCTCACAGTGAATCTTTTTATGATTTACAGTATTGTAACTGTGTTATTCTGCACTACAGACATGTTCTAGTTCTCTCTGCTTCTAGTCATGATGGTTCTGTTTCTATAGAGGAGCAGAACTTTCGTACTACAGTGAAAATCAAGACCACAGAGAGAAACATGTGACGGGAGCAAAAAACTGAAATGAAATCAAGAGCAGAGAACAAAGTTATTTTCCATCTTTGTGAGCAAAACCTCACCTTTAAGAAGTGGATCAACATTGGGTCAACATTCCATTTTGTCCAGAACTTTTGTTAATGATGAAATACCTGCAAAACTAATGACATTCTCACTGTGAGCTTAGTGTTAATGGAGAAACATTTGCATACTAACGGAGTAAACACTATACCTGCTGAACATCAGCATGCTAACATTAGCATTTAGCTCACAGAGACTATTTTGGTTTTACTGCATTTTAAAACAACTGCTTCTGCCTCAGCTCGTTACATGTTACATCACATTCATTTAATGTTCTTTGACTCTTGCTTGCAGACGACGGTCTCTCGCACTATAAAAGATGGTAACTCCGGTGTATGATGGAGCCATTACCATTGTACGGTCCACTCTTTCACCGCTAATGACAACTGGGGATCTCTAATGTCCCACCCAAGTCCTGAATTACTCAGCCATGCCATTTCCTTCAATACCCCATTACTACCGTCTGCACAACATGTAGTGTTCTTTAATGCTCTGTAACCTTAATGGCATGTGGCCTCGCCCATTAGGCCGACCGCTTAGCGAGTTCCACTGGTCATTTACTGAAGCAAAACGTCATTTCATCACCGGTTTTATCACCGGCGCACCGTTATATTTCACGGAGAGAAATCCATTCTTCTCTCAGACCGTTTGTTAGAATAAGGCTGTGTTTAATTGAGAGTAGGAATGGACGATTGCCTCTCAGAGTACTTTAAAGACCTGCAGACGGGAGGAGGAACGAGGAAGGGGAAGCCAGTAGAGTGCAGACCTCGCTGAAATGTTTCTGTGTGTGATGGATGGATGGACGGATGGATGGATGGAGGGATAGATGGAGGGATAGATAGATAGATACTTTATTAATCCTGCAAGGGGAAATGTTTTCACTGCAGCAGCATTTATAGATAAAGGTAAAGCAAAAAAAGTATAAAAATGCACAATATAAACAATGAAACAGAATAATATTAAATGAACTAACTAAACAATAGTGCAAAGATGTGTTTCACTCGTACGTCTCACACAACAGACCATTTGTATTTATGCTGGGTGTCTTGAGGCTGACCATCACGTTTGTGAGATTTTAAGCCAGACTAAAAGTTTACACGTCATTAATCATAATATGTCAGTTTTAATATGTTATCATGGAACAAAGTAACCATTTAAATTCCCAGTATGTGGTCAGTTTATCCAAAAATAACGCCTGTTTGGAAATGTGCTGCAACATTTTCAGAGATGTTGTCAGCTGTTCCCCCGGGGGGGATATTTAGTTATATTTATATTAATATGCCAGTATTGGAGCGCCTCGGGCCCTGTGTCCACATAGCGCCATTTTCTGGCAGGAAACAGCCGCAGGGCGCTGGGTTCTGCTTCATCCAAGCATTTTGAAGACAAGCTGCTCCGAGCGTTTTTTTTTTTTTTGCTTCTTTGACAAACTTCTCTTGACAACATTTCACCACTCAAACCACTGTTGAATAAAGGACCAGCATCTCCCCTTTTCTTTTTATTTCATATTTAAGCTTCTATTTGTTTGACTTTGTCACCAACCAGAGGATGCTCAACCCTTCCTATAGATGAGCTCGTCATCGGCAGAGAGAGACGAGGCGTACGGTACTTTTTACTTCGGTGACGTCAGCAGCGCTTTTCTGAAAAAGTTGAGAGATGTTCCAAGCGCTTGGAGCGTCCGCAAAAAAAAGGCACCGCACTCAGAAAAAAAGACGCCTTTTTCTCTCGGCGGCCGCTGTGCTCTCTCCTTATAAATGCTGCTGTCGCGAAATAATATCCTCTTGTGGGATTAATAAAGTAATTATCTATCTATCTTATTGAGAATAAATACAAAAAATATATATTTATGCATTTTCTTTGTTTTCCCTGTCGTACCAAAAACCATGACCCAAAAACCGAGCTACACAGCGACCTGTGAATTGTGTGTACCATTTCCCATCCTCCTTTCTTCTTCTCTTTTCTCTCTCTCTCTCTCTCTCTCTCTCTCTCTCTCTCTCTCTGCGCATGCTTTTCCTCC